AAGAGTAGTTGTGCTGATAGGGAAGGTTTTAGAGCGCTGTGAGGTTAGCTCTGGCTGGAGTAACTCCTGCAAGGAGTAGGGATCCCACTTACATTTCTAATTTGAAATAGTTCGAACCAAAGAGTACACAGTCATTTCCTATATAAAATTCATAGTTATTAAAAAGAAAAGTTACAAGAAAACATACTTGCTGGGTTTTTCTTACACATCTTAGGAAAGATTGACTGTCCTCAGGTAAGGTTTCTCTCACCTACTTTAGATACAGTAAGGTGCAGCATCTTTTCTAAGTCTTATCTCTGCTCCTTCTTCTGCCAGGAGAAGGGAGAAGCCATGCGGGATGCATTGCCATCTGAAGGCCTCTCTGTCCTCGTTGCTAACAGCAGGGACCTGGACACTAGTTAGTCCCAACCCATAATTTCAGACAATTCCAGGTGGGTCAGATGAATCCCACCCATGGCACAGTCATCAGTTCTTACAGATTAACTTACTGCTCTGTTGTGATAAATTCCAGGTGAGAATCTTGCCTTGTACTCATGTAAAACACCATTAGCCTCTCTCTGCAGCAATGCCCTAGTGCAGTTACTCACTGTGTTGGTGCCAAAGGTTTGGTGGTTTTTTTTTCAGTTGACAGCTAATTGTGGACAGGGAGACAGGCAATAAAAATGCTGTGAATGGTGAAGGAAATGAGTCTGACTCACTTCCACTCTCCCTTTCACGTTTTTAATCCTGCGCAGTGCTGCCTATGACAGGAGTGGGATTATGCTGGGTTTACTGATAGCAGTCTCTGGCCTGCTGTGTAGATGGTTTTATTTTCAATCCATTATTTTTTTTTATGAATGTGTTTCTATTTGTTTTCCCATTTCCCTTCAGCGACTTCTACCTGACAGATTTAAGTTGCTTCCCTTTCATTCCCATTCCAGCTGCAAGCACATCTCCTCCTTGCAGGTAAATATGTTTTGAAAGGGAGAGGGAGGGAGAAATGAAGTTAACATTGCTTTCCGCTTCGGACTTAAGAAAATAAGGAAAAACTAGGAACGTGAAAGGAGTGTTTCTGCAGTGAAACTGTGATGTCTTTCAGAGGAAAGCAGAGGCTGTTTTCGTTTTCAGACCCTGGTTGAAGCTTGAGAGAAAAGCAGGTGACGCCAAGTTTATGTTGACCGTCCAAAGGCTATGGTGGGGAAATCAAACAGGTTTCTGTCATTAGTTAGCAGTCTGTAAACAAGGTAGTCCACATCACCGTGCCTAAGGTCAGCCTTTGTGTGTACAAGCAGGAATCTGGGGGGATTAGGGCAGTGTTTAGTGTTTCTTGCTGGTTTAAATTGACCTGTCAAGTAGTGTGTTATGAAGCAGTGCCTGGACGCGTGGGGCAGAGGGGCAATGTTCAGGGCACGAAACCATCTGAAAGGATGTGATAGGTGTTTGTACTGAATTTCACATGGCTGAGGCTTGGAGATGCACAGAGCAATGATAGAAGAGCACAAGAAAACACAAGCTCATGAACAAGGCGAGGAACTGCTTATTGGCAGGTCCGGGTCCCTGGCGAGGGTCCATGACTCAATGCCAGAGGCCACTGCTGTGTGTTTGTATGTGTCCTTAGCAAACTGTTCTGCATAAGCAAAATCATCTCTCCAATGAGAATAACTTATTTCTAATCTGTGCTGTTATATTCTTTATCTCCAAATAATTAAACTGCACCGTTTGAAGACGATGACCATGTTCTAAATATCAAAAGAACCTTTTCAACCTGTATCTTTTGCTTGGCTGTAACAATTTAAGTCGTATCTTCTTGGTAGCCTGCATGCAGAATAGTCTCCTTGTTTGAGAGGCTGGTTTGTACCAAATGGGGACAGAAATGTAAATATTTACTGCCATCTTTTGGGCAGTGTGGGTATGACTCAAAAAAAGAAGGGGTCAGTTGTCATCTCCTTCAGCTTTGTCAACTGGTTCTTATTTGACCACCAAACACAGCAGTCCACCCAGGAACATTATTTTTTGATAGTCATGTTATCAGTCTCAAGCTATAAGTGAAGCAAGGTTTGTGGGGAGAGGTGCTCACTTTGATTTGAGCAAGCTGCTAAATTTGGGGGAAAAAACCTAACAGAAGTCTTTGAGCACATCTGCCATTCTCATGGTTTTGAGACAGTGTGTGTTTGTTGCTCCAAGCTGTCAGGAGCTTTGTGTTTTGCTTTGCTTTAATGCAAATAATCGGTAGGAGTTGGAGAGATGGGTGGAACTCCTGAAGTCAAAACCTGGAGCTGCTGTTGTATGGTCTATGGTCAAAATAGGATGGCAGTTCGTGGCCTCAAGGAAGAATGTTTTCCTGCAAGTAACTGAGGTTTTAGACTACTTGGGGTTTTTTTCAAGAAATTCAATTTGAGTGTTTTTCAATCTACAAAAATATTAGAATGTCAGCAAATACTGGTTTATGTCAAAGTGCATATATTTTAGCAGGGTAGGGTATGTTGCATCATACTCCTCTGATCCTTTTTTTTTTTATATGGTGTACTGCTCAGTTGAAATGCTGATGAGGCGACCTTTCCTGATTGTGATATGGTATTTTTCATCCGCTTGAAGTGTCAGGTTGCATTTTTGACCTCACACCTAATCAAACTTTCAGTCCTACAGGCTGTACAGAGACAGGTAATAGCAGTAATAGCCTGTTCCTTGAAACTAGGTTGAAATTAATAGCAGCAAAGTACTTCCCTGTTTCCAAAATGCCGTGTCTGACAGTGGTTGAAGCCCTCTTTTAATGCAAGGAGATCTATTATTAGAGCTTTTTAGAAAGATGAAATTTTTGCCTGGGATTCATCTATATTGCTAATTTCAGTACAATTGTAATCTGATCGTTACCAGCTGGACCTGCACAATGTGCCACAAGGGAGTGTTAAAAACTTGCTCAATGTAAAACTTGGTGTGTTGTTTATTTGGGAGGCGCCAGCATAGGTAATTGTCCTTCCGCTCACTGTTGTTCAGCTTGCATTCAGCAAGCAAAATATGACTCTTTGCTTTTGTCTTGTATTTGTTTGTTTTAGGTGAAACTTCCTTTTCCTGTTGATCAAATCACAGATCTTCCAAGGAATGATTTCCAGATGATGATAAAGATGCACAAGCTAACCTCAGAGCAGCTCGAGTTCATCCACGACGTCCGCCGGCGCAGCAAGAACCGAATTGCAGCTCAGCGCTGCCGCAAGAGGAAACTGGACTGTATTCAGAACCTAGAATGTGAAATCCGCAAGTTGGTGAGTTGTGCACTCTCAATGTGGCCCTGCTCGCCTCATACCGCAGCTTGCAGGGCACCAACAGCAATTCCTGTCCAGAGTTTAGTGGGTTCACTCAGTTTGTACATAAGTAAGTGGACCCAGTAGGGTGAAAATTTGATATACAAAAATATGTTAATAGGTATGTGTATATAATATATAAGAAAAACATAAAATTCCTGTGGAATGAGGCCTAGGTATCTCTTTATTTTGGTATCTCAAGAACAGATTGTTGAATGAGTTGGAAGAGGAGGGAAGCCTGTATCACAGCTCCTTTCTTGCAGTTTAACTTACCTCCAGTCCTTACAATGCTTCCACAAAGGCATTTTCTCATCCAAGCCCCATTTCCATGCCTAACTGCCGTAACAACCTCTTGGTCAGGGATTTGTGGAGTGCTCAAAAGACATAGGCATGAAGAGACCTTCAGAGGTTGTCTGGTCCAAGCAGTGGTGTGGCAGGGCCAGCTTCTCCTCTACATAGAGATTTTCTTTCTCTTTGGTGTGCTAGAAGGCAGCTCAGCGTTTTCAGGACGTTTCAGCTCACTATGCCTTTTCCTCAGCTCTTTATTCACTGAGCAAGTGGCAGAAATGGCAAGAGAAGTGAAAAGCCAGGAATGAGAATGTTGAACCTTATGAGGTTCAGCAAGGCCAAGTGCAAGGTCCTGCACCTGGGTCGGGGCAATCCCCAATATCAACACAAGCTGGGAGATGCAGGGATTGAGAGCAGCCCTGCCAAGAAGGACTTGGGGGTACTGGTGGATGAAAAGCTGGACATGGCCCGGCGATGTGTGCTCGCAACCTAGAAGGCCTTCACGTCCCGTGCACTGGATTCTGGCGGCAACTGTTGGTTTGCCCAAACCCTCCTTGATGTGTGTCTCTCACAGTAGTCTTCTGCAGAGAGAAGAGCAAAGCATGCCCTGCTCAATGGCCAGAGCATGTCTGGGACAGGTCTCCTGTGTGCCAAGGTGTTGGTGGACAATGCTATCACATTTTAATCTGAGGCAATGAGGGACTGGAGCGAGGCTAAATGGCTTCTCAGGAAATTCCCTTTCAGTCATAGTATGGACACCTCAGATGTGGTTTGGGTGGCTAAACACTAATGTCTACAATACAGACTCCTGCACTGCAGCTAGTTGTCCTGGCTTCCTTTATAGTCAGTAAAGAGAAGTAGATATCTGTCGGGTCTTATTTGTCTCATCCTGCAGCAGAGGAGGTGACATACAGCCCAGAAGTGCCCGTTTCTCTCCATAGCTAAACAAAACATGGAGAACCATGGCATATGTTAGACATCTTAGCTATAAGCACCTTATCTGAAGAAACTCCCCTCCTTTGTGATGGTGCCCTTGTGGTCTGAGGGCGCTGCTTCTCTTCCCCGACATCCCTTGCCCGTTAAGAAAGCAAGCTGGTACACAACGAAAAAAAGGCTTGAGACAAGGGGCATGGAGGAAGACATGTCTACAGGGTGTCACTCAGCGGGAGAAAAGCAACACTGGAGCTTCAAAATGGGTTAGCACCTCTTCATCTGTTAAAAGTCTTAAAAGCTTTCTGAGGCATCAAAAATAATGTAATAGTCCCAGTTCAGCTGTTGTGAGAAGTGTGGGTGTGCAGCATGCAGGACTGGACAGTTTAGTTGCATTACACAGTATAGATTTAGGTGTCCAGCATTAAACCCAGCCTTTAAATATCCAAGAGTTTGAGTTCAGTCACATAGGTAAAACAAAAGGAGCTGAAATTGATTTCCTTACTGAGATCTCTGTGTACCCATTTTCCGTTAAAATTAAAGGTTATTTGGAGTCTTTTATTTAAACGTCTGTGTGCACATTTAAAACACACTTAGTTGTAGGTTGAACTTAGTGGGTCTGGGGAGCGTGGTACTTCTTGTCGCAACAGGCTGTGTGTTGAAAGTGGCCTTTGGTGTAGGCTTCGTCATGCTTCATTCTCTGCCCAAGCTTTAGCAAACATAGTGTGAAAGAGGCAGGGATCTGTTAGAAGAAGCTGAGTTACCGTCACCTCACAAATTGCAGAAAGCTGCATGACTTTGAGTTACTTACTCACTGCCTGTGCCTGTCTGCTTCCCATCTGTAACATGGAGGTGACACTGACCCCACAAGCTGGTTGGGAGGCTTAAGTCATTGAGACTGGCGAAGCCTTCAGATACCATGCTGCTGAAGCCCTGGGGGGGGGAAAAAAAAGAAATTAAAATCAAAACATTGTTCAAAGTAGTGCTCCACTGATGCAAAACAAACAAAACATCAAAGATAAACAAAACAGTGAGCAACTGCTTCCTGCACTGAGCATAATCCACACTACATGTGGGATGAGTCAGAGGTTCTGCAGGGTGAAAGAGCGGCTCCTTGGCCAGGTTGTAAGGAGAAGCAACTCAGGAGGACTACAGGGATGTCCTGAGGTTATGCAAGGTGAGAATCAGAAGGGCCAAAGTCCAACTAGAACTTAATCTGGCTACTGCTGTAAAAGACAGTAAAAAATGTTTCTTTAAATACATTAGCAACAAAACCAGGGCTAAGGAGAATGCCCATCCTTTCTTGAATGTGGGGGGAGACACAGTGACAAAGGATGAGGAAAAGGCTGAGGCACTTAATGCTTTCTTTGCCTCAGTCTTTGATGGCAAGACCAGTTGTTCTTGGAGTACCCAGGCCCCTGAGCTGGAGGACAGGGGACAGAATGTAGTCCTCATAATCCAAGAGCAAATGGTTAGCGACCTGCTACACCACTTAGACACACACAAGTCTCTGTGACTGGATGAGATCCACCCAAGGGTACTGAGGGAATCACACAGAATCACAGAATGTTAGGGGGTGGAAGGGACTTTGAAAGATCATCTAGTCCAACCCCACTGCCAGAGCAGGACCACCTACAGTAGGTCACACAGGAACACATCCAGGCGGGTTTTGAATGTCTCCAGAAAAGGAGACTCCACAACCTCTTTGGGCAGCCTGTTTCAAGTCCCTTTTCATTATTTACCAGCAGTCTTGGCTAACTGGGGCAGTCCCAGTTGACTGGAAGTTAGCAAATGTGATGCCCATCTACAAGAAGGGACAGAAGGAGGATCGGGGGAACTACAGGCCTGTCAGCCTGACCTCAGTGCTGGGGAAGGCTATGGAGAAGGTCATCTTGAGTGCCATCACATGGCACGTACAGGACAACCAAGTGATCAGACCCAGTCAGTATAGGTTTGTGAAAGGCAGACCCTGCTTGACTAACCTGATCTCCTTCTGTGACAAGGTGACCCGCTTAGTGGATGAGGCAAAGGCTGTGCATGTTGTCTACCTAGACTTTAGTAAAGCCTTTGACACTGTTTCCTACAGTATTCCCCAGGAGAAACTCTGCTCATGGCTTGGAAGGGCGTGCTCCTCGCTGGGTAGAAAACTGGCTGGATGGCCAGGGCCGAAGAGCGGAGGTGAATTCAGTTAAATCCAGTTGGTGGCCGATCACAAATCATGTTCCCCAGGGCTCAGTATTGGGGCCAGTTCTGTTTAATATCCTCATCAGTGATCTGGACAAGGGAATTGAGTGCAGCCTCAGTAAGTTTGCAGATGACACCAAGCTGGGCGGGAGTGTTGATCTGCTCAAGGATAGAAAGGCTCTAGAGAGGAATCTGGACAGGCTGAATTGATGGGCTGAGGCCAATTGTAAGAGGCTCAACAAGGCCGAGTGCCGGGTCCTGCACCTGGATCACAACAATCCCATGCAACACTACAGGCTTGAGTGAAAAGCTGGACATGAGCCAACAATGTGCACTCGCAGCCCAGAAAGCCAACCATATCCTAGGCTGCATCAAAAGAAGCATGGCCAGCAGGTCAAGGGAGGTGATTCTCCCCCTCTGCTCTGCTCTGCTCTGGTGAGACCCCACCTGAAGTACTGTGTCCAGCTCTGGAGTCCTCAGCACAGGAAAGACATGGAACCGTTGGAGTGAGTCCAGAGGAGGGCCACGGAGATGATCAGAGGAATGGAGCACCTCCCTGTGAGGACAGGCTGAGAGAGTTGTGGTTGTTCAGCCTGGAGGAGAGAAGGCTCCAGGGAGACCTTATTGCAGCCTTCCAGTACTTCAAGGTGGCCTATAAGAAATATGAGGGCAATCTTTTTAGCAGGGCCTGTAGCAATAGGACAAGGAGAAATGGTTTTAAACTAAAAGAGGATAGCTTTAGACTAAATATAAGGAATACATTTTTTACAATGAGGGTGATTAAACACTGGAACTGTTGCCCAGAGAGGTGCTAGAAGTCCCATCCCTCAAAACATGCAGGCTCTGAGCAACCTGACCTAGCTAAAGCTTACTGGAGGGGGGCTTGGACTAGATGACCTTAAAGGTCCCTTCCAGCCCAAACTATTCTATGATACTCTTACTTCTGTAAGAGTGGCTGGAATGCTGCCTGATGGAAAAGGTGGGGGTGCTGGTCGAGAGCCGGCTGAACATGAGCCAGCAGTGTGCCCAGGTGGCCAAGAAGACCAACAGCATCCTGGCCTGTATCAGAAATAGTGTGGCCAGCAGGAGCAGGGAGGGGATCGTGTCCCTGTACTCGGCACTGGTGAGGCCGCACCTCAAATGCTGTGTGCAGTTTTGGGCCCCTCACTGCAAGAAGGACATTGAGGTGCTGGAGCGTGTCCAGAGAAAGGCAATGAAGCTGGTGAAGGGTCTGGAGAGCAGGTCTTGTGAGGAGCGGCTGAGGGAGCTGGGGTTGTTTAGCCTGGAGAAGAGGAGGCTTGTGGCAAGGTGAGTGTTGGTCTCTTCTCCCAAGTAACAAGCAATAGGACAAGGGTAAATGGCCTCAAATTGCACCAGAGGAGGTTTAGATTGGACATTAGGAAAAATTTCTTCACTGAAAGGGTTGTCAAGCACTGGAACAGGCTGCCCAGGGAAGGGGTTAATCCCTGGAGATATTTAAAAGACATGTAGATGTGGTGCATAGCGACGTGGTGTAGTGGTGGACTTGGCAGTGCTAGGTTAACAGTTGGACTCAATGATCTTAAAGGGCTTTTCCAACCTGAACGATTCTGTCATTCTGTGATATACTATGGTATCTGGTGCATCATTCTGAAAAAGGGCATTAGTAAAAAAGACAGTCACAAGGTTTGCAGGAGTAAAAAGCTGCAAAATTAAACTCATGCAACTTTAACTTCGCTTCTGAAGTGCTCTGGCCCTCCCCCCACACACATGCTGTCCAAGCAGGTCATCTGCTTCAAGATCTTACTTTTAGGAGAACCAGCAGTGAAACTCCTACACAATACGTGACCACTGGAGACTCCTTGTCATCTGCTGTCCACTTTGTGACCAGTAATTTCCAGTCTCCTGAGTTAAGTAATGGTACTAGGGTTTAAGGTTTTTCACTTGGCTAGGTCTTTTTTATGAAAGACCCCTTACCCCCCCTGCACTTACTTCCTGTAAGTCACCCATCTTCTTGAAACCATATAGCAGACAGTGAAATGGTCGTATCCTCAAACTTTGATAGGTAGGTTTTTTTGCCTGCTTTTCCTCAGTCGTCCGTCTGCCCACTCACATTCCCTTTTTTCCCTGCAAACTCACAGCATATTCTCTTCCATAATTCATTATTTCAAGATGTACTTGAGCATCTGTTTATTTTTTTATTATTTTTATGCTTTCTTGATAGATTTATCAATATTTTAGCAGTTGGTTCTTTTCATCTACACTGCTCTCTTTCTCATCCGCACAGCTGTAGGCTTCCAGTGCAGGCTGCAGACCCAGGGCAATACTATCAGCTGTCAACAGCCACCCATAGTTGGATTATCTGAGTTGTGGAGTTTTTACACCTCAGATGCCAAGGCAGCTTGGGTTTAGCGGTGTTACTAGGTGAGGTACACAGCTGAGCTGCTTTTGGGGCCAGCTCAGGTCTAGAAATAGCTCTGGTGCTCTACAAAATCTTATCTACTTCCTCAAGCAGTATGCCGACCTTCCTGGGACAGAAAGTGATGCAGCAGGACCATCCCAATCAGTCTGCACTGAGTCAACACTGGTTTTCAGAGGTGTAACCCCAGACCGGGTCTGGCTCTGTGCCTAACCCCCTCCCCCGAGTCTGCCTCCTGAGCACGGGGAAGGCAGCGCTCACCCCACGGGGGTCTTGCTGGCCACATGAGGTCTAAGGTGGAGCTGACTCCCACCACAGCATGTCGCACAGCACCCTGTGCTAGCTAGGGCTGGGGGCCTTACCGGTGCTTTGTTGGATACAGAATCACCTGAGCTCCTTTTCCCAGGTCTTGAATCCTGCATGAAAAAATAAGCCCCACCGGATTCTGTCAGTCTTCCTCCTCACCAGTACTGTCCTGCCTGTCACCTGGCCCCTTCCTAGAGCAGCCCGCTGACACAGTGAAACTCTGAAAATGCTTGAGCTGGGTGTTGGTAGGGCAGGACATTTGGGAGCACAAGAGGCATAGCCTGAGCAGAACAAAAGGGAAATGACATTGAGCTTGTACTAAGTGTTAAGGAGCCCACCGGCCTTCAGGGTTTTCACATACATCTTCATAAAGATATCTTGATTAGGTCAAACCCAAACCATTAAGCACCAGGACAGCAGAAAACAAGCCATGGTGCAGGCCACAGAGCACACACTCCAGTCCTCTTCTCTGAATAACACACCTCTCAGTGGTAACGGGGGTTTGGCTGGCACATGGGCCAAAGTGGGTACACCCAGCATGACCAACTGACCCAGCAGTTAGAGGGTGAACCCAACTTCTGTAACATATCCTAACTTCAGGAGCTAAGCCCTGTTTTCTTGATGTTCAGATGGGTAATGAATTTCCACATCAAAATGTTTCTTTCAGAGGTTTTTTGTGTCATCCATCAAGCAGCCTTAGTCTGTGAAGGGAACTAACAGTCTCTTGGGGATAACTTGTGACTCTATCCTCTTCCAACTCAAATGTTTTTCTCCAGGTGTTTCCCAAACTGCAGTCCACACAGGCCTCATGGTGAAATACCTGATGTCTTTGTGACTTTTCCTCCACTCACATAAAACTAACTGTGACGTGTTGGTGTTCTTGGGTACTGCTGCATATGTGCCTGGGCTGTGCAGCCGGCGGATGGCCCTTCCTCAGCCTGAGATGCTGTCTTTCTTTTTCAGGTGTGTGAGAAAGAGAAATTGCTCTCAGAAAGGAATCAGCTGAAAGCAAGCATGGGAGAATTGTTAGACAACTTCTCGTGTCTTTCCCAAGAAGTGTGTAGAGACATGCAGAGCCCAGAACAGATCCAAGCTCTCCACCGATACTGCCCCGTTCTCAGACCCATGGATCTACAGCCAGCCACCACCATCAGCCCCTCCCCAGCTGGTGTGGAGCAGAGCCTGGTGACCTCCCAGTGCGTCGGGGAAAGCATGCAGTGCTGCTCGGAGCAAGGCTCAGTGCAGCTGGGGGCGCCCTGGCTGCCCAACAACATCTCAGAAAATTGTTCGGCGGGCGGGGGGTTGGATGGAGCCGACACAGGTACTTACCCCGAGAGAGAGCTTCCACCAGAGCAGAGCAGCCAAACGGTCACGGTAGACTTCTGTCAGGAAATGACTGATAAATGTACAACAGATGAACAACCTAGGAAAGATTACACCTAGTGACTTGTAACCTTAACGTTACACCTGGTCAGGTGTTCTTCAGTCAGCCAGTGGCAGTGTTCATTTGTTGTCTAGAAGAACGTATTTGGTGCACACTACAGTGGTCTTAGCAGCAATACTGTTTTTAAGTATTCCCTCCTCTCTACAAGCAGGAGTTCTCTTCACAATGGTGCTATCCCTTGCTCAGGCAGGGAACGAAGCAGTGGCAACACTGTCTGTTTTTGTATGTTGATTTCAATCTTAACAGGGATGGACATAACACCTCTGAGGACCCAACCGCAGCTTTTTTCTCAGTGGCCCATGTCACAAAACCCTAACTCAGGAATTTCCTCTGAATGTTCAATTTTTCATTGAAGACAGCTTCTTTACACATCAAAGTTTTATAGCTAAACTGTACATACTATATATAATATATATAAAATATATATATCCATATGCAAAAGTCCCTGCATGCCTCAATTTTTCTCATCCTACAAACTGGAAGCTTTCATTTCTATTGTATAAACAAGTTCCAACATTCCTTTTTGTCTTCGATGCTAGAACTAGTTTGGTAACTTGTTACACGATAATTTTTTTTCCTCGGTTCGCAGTTCAGCAATATCATTCGATTTGTACTTATTTATAAAATTTTAATGTTGGAAACTTATTTGAGATTTTATTGTAGACAGTTTTTTTGGCACAGCCATTTCGTGCCACTTGAGCAATGTGGAGTTATTTTATTTTCTTGCAGATACTGTACAGTAATGGTCAACTTTGCCACTTGCACTGAGTTTCTGGTCAAACCTCTTTTCATTAATGAAGTCATGACTTCAGTATAACTTGAGTATATGGTTTTCTTTGCTTTATGGCTTAAAGAAAATAGAAAAGTTTTAGCTAATAGACAAACACTCAGGAGCTCATTATGTAGTAAAAACGGTCTTGCCAAATACTGAATTCACTATACAATTTGTAAAGAGAATCTGCTTGAATTATTTTTATATTCAGACTTCTTTCTGTTTCACAAACCAAGTTTAAGTGCTGTTAATGATGGTTTTGGATTCTTATAGGGGAAAGTGTATTTCACTCTTTAGAGAAAAAAGTATTTGACAACTGGATCAGTTCATCATACGTTCCACAAAGTAAAGCAAACGGAGATCACATCAATACACTTGAGGGGGGCTTTTTCTCCAGCCCTGCTCTGCATCCTTTACTCATGGAAGCAACTGCTGCTCTGGCTAGTCCCCAGAGCCTCACCTCAGCTGTCTTCAGACGTTACATGTTTTCCTCACCAGACCCGAGTGGCAGAGGTGGGTCTGGTGAAGTCAGTGATCCTGCCTGGGTAGGCAGAATTGCAGGATCAGACCCCTAGTTGTTGGCTTTGGTTTCCTTGCAGAAGTCAAGTTAGCACTGTATCCACTAAGGGCAAAACATACACCTGCCAACAGCCAATTCGGTCGCTTACCCGTCAGATTCTTGTGTTCCAGGATCCTCTCAGCACAAACTGCAGCTAGAAGAGCGCTGTCTCAAAGGAGACTACTCAGTGAATTGGCTTAGTTGTAACTGTATTGGATTTGTATCTTAAGCAATGTTGACTCATGTTATGACTGTGTGAGACAGCAGCTTTCCAAGCATAACATCTGTATGTACAGTGTAGACAGAAGAACACCCTCCTAATGCTTTTTTAATAATTATTATTATTATTATTATTATTATTATTCTAAGTGTACTGAGTTTTTATTTTGTGGTTCTTTGCCCTACGTGTGCCAGGTTGCGTGGCTTTATCGATGACAACTGTCGTGTGCTTTACTGGCTGATATTGTTTGTTCTTGCTGAAAAAAAATGACCAGCTGTTTACACCTATTTTAAAAAAAAAAAAGTGTGGGGAAGCAGCTTCTCAGAAGCACTAAGCGATAATGTGGTCTTCTGCGCTAACGTTTACACTAGAGGTGTGCACTGGTGGTTTTTTGAGGCACTCAGTAGATCAGCATCTTGACCCTGGAGGAGGAATCAGCTCCCTCTCTCCACTTCTTCCATCCTCAGACTGTGCTCATGGACCGTCGCCCACTTGCCACAAAGTCTTGCTTTTATCCTCTTCACCCAAACTATTGTAGCCAAGCTACCGAGGAGGAAATGCATATAGCATGTGCCATGTTTGTTGAAAATACTTTTTTTTCCCCGCATGTACAAAGAAAAACTAGTATATAATGTAGGAGAATATTTATGTTTAAGTATTAATCATTACTGTACAAAATCTTTACCTTTAAATGTTCAAAAATATACAAATGCCATAAACTCCTAGTTCACACGGTTGAAAAAGGGGGGGGAGTCATCCTTTCTTTTTAAAAGAGCTTAACCTAAAAATATCTGAACCCCCCTCTCAGCCATCTTTTGCAGGTAACTGGCTGAGAAGCTCTTTGGCAGGGGGTGGATTTGGTTTTCCTTTGAATTTGTTGACGTTGCAAAGCAGTTCTGTGCTTCGCAGAGAAGTTTTGTTTCTATGAGACCATGGTGAAAGCTAGAATTTAAAACTAAATGTGAATCACATTATAGAGTCATAGCTACTTGGGGGGCTGGGGGCGGGTGGGAGGGAAGGGTCAACTGACACAGTATTTTAAAGATGTTTTTCTGTTGCCTTTTTTATTTTTAAGTGACCTCCTATATATATGAATAGATAGAATGTTTTATGAGTATAAAACCAAGTTCTAACTTGCTTCCTGACATGAAGATTTACTCTACTAACAACTCATGTGCAACTGGTACTCTTGACCTCATTCCAACGGTTTAAAAAACCCACCCACACAACCCATTGCGCTGCAGCTCTTAGGTTTGACCTGGCTTCATACTGGTGCTGGGTCTCTTGATTTCCTCTACCTTGGGAACTGATATTTAAAACCACTGCTCAAATAAGTGTCTCTTCCTCAAACTTTCTCTCGTCTCTCTC